AAATGGGCCTTTTTCAAAACAAAATGTTTTTTTTTGTTTACTGGCCTTATTTACGGTCACATGTCTTAATCTTTGCCGACCAAACGTCGATAACGACAACGGCCATCAAAACTGCCACAATTACTGCCACGCCAACACCTCCTATACACAAAGCAGAAAATCGGGAATCAGGAGCACTTGATTTACTTCTTCTGTACGACGACAATGATTTTTTGTCTAATTTGAAGGTGGAAGGTATATATTTTTCGTAGTAACTACTTGCACTAGTATTCTCTGCATTCTGATAAACAGTTACTCCTATACTATTTTTATTCAAGGAACAAGACAAAGGAGCAGCTCGTATATCTGTGTTATTAACTGTAAAAATTAATTAATAAAATGTGATTTCATATGAGACTGCATTTTTATTATACAACTATTAATGTATAAAAAAGACTGACAGCTTTACAAAGTCATAATGAATAATAATGATAACAAGAATCGGCTGTTGCCCTTTTGTGACTATCGTTATTATTCTCTTTATATCATTTGCGACAAATTGCAATATTAAAGGCATCAGAAGGCGGAAATTTATTTGAGCCAAATCACATGTATGAATATTTGCAATATAATCAGTAAAGCGGGAGGTTTGGCATGCCACAAAACCAGGTTCAACCCACCATTTTTTTCTTAAAATGTCCTGTACCACGTCAGGAAAATGGCCATTGTTATATTATAGTTCGTTTCTGTATGTGTTACATTTAAATGTTATGTTTTTGTTGTGTCGTTGTTCTCCTCTTATATTTGATGCGTTTCCCTCAGTTTTAGTTTGTAACCCGGATTTGTTTTTATCTCTATCGATTGATGAGTTTCGAACATCGGTATACTACTGTTGACTTTATTCATTCTAATACAAACAAGTCCTTAAATAAAGATGATATCTTATATACAATAAATTCAGGCAGCACATTGTAATTTAACGATGTTATAACTAATAAATATATTAAACAGATACAAATCAAGGTAACACTAAAACTGTGGGAATCGTAATAGGAGCGAGACTGTTTCATTGACAAGGTAAGAGTCTCCTGCTAATGTACGCATCACCTTCCATGCAAATCACACTCAGTCAAAATGTTTCAAACGGGTAAAGATACAATCGGTAAAATTACAGATCAGACGACTATTCTATAGATATAAGAAGATGTGGTATGAGTGCCAATGAGACAACTCTCCATCCAAGTCAAAATTTGTAAAAGTAAACAATTATAGGTCACAGTACGGTCTAGTATATAAAGATTTAAAACTGCAAAAACATGTCGCTAGTGAGTTGAGACATAGACACATCGTATCAATCAATTCGTCATGGTGACATATATTTAAGAACATCCGTTGTTCGACCTGCTAGTCAAATGCGTTTTGTTAAAATATACTTTTTTACTTTTTTGGTTTTTTGGGAAATGTTGTTCGTGCTGTATTTAGACCCCTTTACCAAGAAATTTGTTTTGCATGCACACGTATAAAAATTGCGGTTTTTATCCAACGCAATCAGAGGGTTGAACGTTGTTTTCAATTTAGACTTGTATATATATAGATTCTATCACTGTATCGATTGTGATACAACATTTATGCACTAAAGACACTGGCATTTTCTAATTTGAAACGCCAGTTTCGTCGATCGTTTTAAATATTTAGAATTTAAGTGTCTGGAGTGGAAAAATGTCGTATTGCACTAGATTTGGTGGTAGACAAACTTAATCTTTCTTTTCCAATGATTTTCAAAGCAATGTGTCCTTTCTAAGCCATGTCATCAAGCATGGTCGCCTCTTTTTGTGACACCACAATAGGAAATTCAGTGGAAAGCAAGAAAATTTGACGTAATAATTAAATTTTGACCAATGAACAACTCAGATCAAACGAACCACACGTTGATTGAATAAAAATAATCAACAGGTCAGGAAAAAGGATAAATTGTCTAAAATGAGAGAAAATAAGTATAACAAAAATACCAATCTTCAAAGTAAATTCAAAAAGGGGAAGTCCATAAAAACCTACACAATCAAATGTTAGACTTTATAAACCAATTGAACGAATGGAAAACAACTGTCATACAGTCCTTGGATGGTGTAAACTTCCCACTCACACCATACACCATTACACCATTCACCATACACCATTACACCATACACCTTGTGCCATTACACCATACACGTTACATCTTACACATTACACCATACACCATTCCCCATTCTATCTACACGATCCGAAATTACCCATAATGCAATTAAATTTCAAAGAAAGCGTGTGACTACAAAATTATTTATTTGATTTAAAAAACGAATTTTGATCACAATATTGTAAATTAATGTATAAAATTAAAATCTCCGTGGTCATGCCTATGATGGTTATATAAACAATACAGATTAAATATATATACATGTATTTGTAAATAAAGTACGCATAAAACTTTGCTTGTAATGCAAATTTATCCGCGATCTGCCTATCTATAAATTAAAAACGATATTGGTTACAATGCTATTATTATCGGTTTTAACATGTATCGTAAATCTTATAAACTTGGTTTTCAGATAAAATCGACAAACAATGCCAAAAATGAATACTTCAGGATGACTGGTATATGTACAACATCAGAGACATATAATACAATATTATATGTCTCTGACAACATGTACAACAATTATTTTAAGCATCAACCAAAACTGACCATATTTGCACTTATAATTATAAAATTGAGAATGGAAATGGGGAGTGTGTCAATCTGTTAATTTATATAGGGTTAAAAAATTTGGAAATATTTTTGCCCTCCTTTTATTAAAAATAATGTCTCGCTACAAAATTTCAGTAATTTTGATACCTCAGGCTGACTCATATAACAAAATTATTTAACTCATCAACCAAAACTGACCATAATATTTTCACTTTATTATATAGATCTATATAGCCGCATAGTAAATCAGCAATATTTTGATGTCAGGGTGGATTGTATAATACAAATGACAGCAACATTGCAAAACAACATGTACAATGACAAAAATTTGTCCCCATCAATCTAGATTGCCAGCATGTCCTCTTTTTATTCAATATATTGTCTCGCAACAAAATTTCAGTAGTTTTGATACCTCAGGTTGACTCGTATAACAAAATTATTTTAACGCATCAACAAAAACTGACCATATTTGCACTTTATTATGTATATCTATAAAGCCACATAGTAAAGCAGCTATATCTTGTTGTCAGGATGGATTGTATAACACAAATGACAGCAACAGTGCAATACAATGACAACAAAAATTTATCCTGATCAATCTAGATAGCCAGCATGACCTCTTTTTATTCAAAATATTGTCTCGCAAGAAAATTTCAGTAGTTTTGATACCTCAGGCTGACTTGTATAACAAAATTATTTTAAAGCATCAACCAAAACTGACCATATTTGCACTTTATCATGTAAATCTATATAGCCGCATAGTAAATCAGCAATATTTTGATGTCAGAATGGATTGTATAATACAAATGACAGCAACATTGCAACACAATGACGACAAAAAATATACCCATCAATTGAGATAGCCAGCATGTCCTCTTTTTAATTAAAATATGGTCTCGCAACAATTTTTCAGTAATTTTGATACCTAAGGCTGACTAGTATAACAAAATTATTTAAACGCATCAACAAAAACTGACCATATTTGCACTTTATTGTGTATATCTATATAGCCGCATAGTAAATCAGCAATATTTTGATGTCAGGATGGATTGTATAACACAAATGACAGCAACATTGCAATACAATGGCAACAAAAATTTATCCCCATCAATCTAGATAGCCAGCATGTCCTCTTTTTATTCAAAATATTGTCTCGTAAGAAAATTTCAGTAGTTTTGATACTTCAGGCTGACTTCCCGTATGAGAATATTAGGTGGATTCCGCTTAAAAATAGCAGGAACCCAGGCGGAATCCACCTAAAAATTATGACTTATAGACGGAATTAAGGCGGACATGGAATATAGAAAAAAACCCGTCTTAAGTATCATAGACCTTAGGCGAAATGTTTACTACTTTCCTGTTGAGTTAACAGGATTTCTGTAGTAAAAGAAATATCATAGACGGAATGCTGGACTTAGTAGATTTGTTCAAGTTTCTTAGGAGGAAATTGGACTTAGAAAATTTTGTTCAAATTTATCAGGCGGGAATTGTACTTAGAAAATTTTGTCAAATTTATCAGGCAGAAATTTTCTTTCTGTTTATGTTTTCAAATGAAAAATATATCATTACTGAATTTTTTTTTTAAATTCTATAGTAATGAGAGAGTGCTGATTATTTGGGCAGTAACTCCAGTGTTTGTACCACCCTAAAATCTAACATTTAATGTAAAGTGATTGCATTATTCAATTATGAATTTGAAAAAAAAATTATAGCCAATTATAATCCCTGCATTGGTTACTTTTTAATATTTACATACTAAATAGTGTCTATAAATTTATAGCATTGTTAGGTAATTTATAATTTTAATTGTGTAATTTAATTAATCTTGATTACTGAAATGATTACTCACTTTAAAATAGATTTACATGTTATGTGTTGCTATCTATAATGCACTTAAACATTATATAAAGTGACAAGATATATATATATATATATATACTTTAATTATTTCACTTACAGAATTTCAGACAATAATTTATTTTTGAATTTTCCATTAAATGAATTGCAGGTTACAATTAATTTATTTTCAAGTATCTCTATTTAATTAATTAGTATACACAAAAATTATTTCCATGCAGTCTCTTTCTTATCAATTAGTGATAGAAATGATATGTGCCATCTGGTTTCTATTTATCTCTGTGATATTGACAGGAAATGATGTACAAAAGAGTTGGGGCCCAGTGAAGGAGACCACATTGTTTTGTACATTTCTCTGAAATTTCTACAACTTAAAATATAAGGAAAATAGATAAAATCATGTGAATATTTTTTATTTATTATTATATATCAAATATTTAAGATTTAGGTAATTTAAATAGTATGATTAGGGAAACAGTTCAAACAACTCCCTAAACAACCCCAACAGATTCAAAATTTGAACTTGCAGACAACAAGCAAAGATGTCTAATTTATCATGAACAAAATATGAATTTTACAATGGATGTAGAGTTTAGACTAAAAAGTTCCAAAGTATTCTATTAACATTAAAAAGTGCAGATGTATTCTTCTGATGACATGACTATTGGATTTAGGAAGATTGATGTTTTCATATATTTTGGATTAAATCTTTTGGTAAGTACAAATTATGAATAAGTATTTCCACCATTTTGAATATTATGAAACTGCTATTTCCTTCAAATAAAATGTGACATATATAAAGTATCTTCTTAACCATGTAGGATTAAGAAAATAACTATAAGACCATGCATTTTTTGCATATAAATAATTATTATGGTATTCAGTGTACGACACAAGACTTATATTTTTAAGACAATCTCTTTTATAAAATATTTCTTTATAGTAGTTTTGGCAAAATTGGAGATCTGTGATATGACTGCAATAATTAAATATATAGACATCTATCCACAAAAGGCAAAAAGTATTATCTTTAACTTAAGTACTCAATTATGGATCAAATTTAAAATTTTAAAAATGGGCAAGACTTACATGTAAATATAGGCCTACAACTGTATGATGTTTAAGTAAAATGAAAAACAAATATTAATCAAAGTAAAGAATATCAACCTATACACTTCATGCACTGAATATATGGTAATATTTAGTATCAGACAATTTTTTATATTTCAGAACTGGTGAAAAGAAAATTTAAAGAATGATGTATGCGCAGACTATTAGTTTTAATATAATCTTTTCAAAATGTTTTCTGATAGGACTGAAGAATGGAAACACAATCAGACTTTGAGTAAGTAGTTTTATACGAAAGAAATCCTTATTTTAAAATGCTTTTAAAGTAGAATTTGCACATGTTGGACTTTCAAAACATTTTGAAAAAAGTTGTAAAACCATCTGTAATTTTTTTAGATATAAACATGATATATAATCTTTTATTTAAACACAACAATTTGAAATAATCTATGATGCTTAAAATGCACATAAAATCCAAATTAGCAAATTGAAATAGGGGGTCACAGCCCACAGGTCTTATTTTCTTCAGAAAATCCCCAAAACAGGTCCTGAGTAAATTAAATTCATTATAATTATCTGCCCTTGATTTTACAAGGTTTTTTTTCTAAAAATTTAATTACATTTTAAAACAATTGCCTAACAACTCTTATTTTTTTATAGTTTAATCTTATAATATCAAGTTTTAAATGTTTCTGTTGTGTATTGAATAATATATGGTAAAAATAGTAAATTCAAGTCAATATGTCAAAATAGTGAAAAAAAAATACAAAATATATATTGGAATACACATGACCAAATAAACCAATGAAGGGATGCTCAGAAAAAGACACCCGACCTACTTATGCAGCTCACAATTTACCTATTTAACATAGACAAATTTGGTAAATTCATTTTAATTTAACCAATAATGCATGGTAATTTTAATTTATGTCCTCATTTTTTTTTCAGTTTATGTAACTGCTTGGTGCACAAAACACAACAAATGCATACAAGATGGTCAGATTAATGATGCTGTTACAGAGCAAATCAGTTATGCACGAAAGAAATTAAGGAAATTGTGATAATACTTTTTATTCGAAGAACACTGAAAAGACATTAAAATATGACTAATAACTGAAAATGAAGAAATTGGGAAGAACTAAAAATGTCAATATTATACATGTAGTAAATTGTAGTTGCTTAAATACAGTCGATCAAGTTTGATAACAATTTTACTATTTTATTTGTATGAAGGCCTAGTTTTTCTTTGCAAGAATGCATAGAAATGGTAAAAACCTGGATCTGTGGAATGAAAAATTTCCTTCATTGAAGGCGGAATTTTTTTCATATTCTTAAGGCGGAATTTTTTTCATATTCTAAGGCGGAATTTTTTTCCAATTTTTAAGGCGGATTTTTTTCTCACTTCTAAAAGCGGATATATTTTCCGTCTCTTTAGGCGGATATATTTTCCGTCTCTTTAGGCGGATATTTTTTGAGAAAAACATTTTTCCTTTTAATCAGACGGAATTTTTCCCCCCTAAGACAGGCGGATAAATTTGCATATTTCGGCCCTATTCCGCCCTGTACCCGCCTGGAATCCATGTAAGAAAGATTCTTCGTGTAAAGGGGGACTTTAAACAGATTCCTTCTAAAATTTCCGTCTGGAATCCATGTAAAATACGCCTGGATTTTTTCGTACAGGTTGTATAACAAAATTATTTTAAAGCATCAACCAAAACTGACCATATTTGCACTTTTAATATTATGTATATCTATATAGCCACATAGTAAAGCAGCTATATTTTATTGTCAGAATGGGTTGCATTATACAAATGACAGCAACATTGCAACACAATGACAACAAAAATTATCCCCATCAATTAAGATTGCCAGCATGTCCTCTTTTTATTCAAAATATTGTCTCGCAACAAAATTTCAGTAATTTTGATACCTAAGGCTGACTAGTATAACAAAATTATTTAAACGCATCAACAAAAACTGACCATATTTGCACATTATTATGTATATCTATATAGCCACATAGTAAATCAGCAATATTTTGATGTCAGGATGGATTGTATAATACAAATGACAGCAACATTGCAATACAATGACAACAAAAATTTATTCCCATCAAACTAGATAGCCAGCATGTCCTCTTTTTATTCAAAATATTGTCACGCAACAAAATTTCAGTAGTTTTGATACCTCAGGCTGACTGGTATAACAAAATTATTTAAACGAATCAACCAAAACTGACCATATTTGCATTTTATTATTATGTAAATCTATATAGCCGCATAGTAAATCAGCAATATTTTGTTGTCAGAATGGATTGCATTATACAAATGACAGCAACATTGCAACACAATGACAACAAAAATTTGTCCCCATCAATCTAGATTGCCAGCATGTCCTCTTTTTATTCAAAATATTGTGTCACAAGAAAATTTCAGTAGTTTTGATACCTCAGGCTGACTCATATAACAAAACTATTTTAAAGTATCAACCAAAACTGACCATATTTGCACTTTATTATGTAAATCTATATAGCCGCATAGTAAATCAGCAATATTTTGATGTCAGGATGGATTGTATAATACAAATGACAGCAACATTGCAATACAATGACAACAAAAATTTGTCCCCATCAATCTTGATAGCCAGCATGTCCTCTTTTTATTCAAAATATTGTCTCGTAAGAAAATTTCAGTAGTTTTGATACCTCAGGCTGACTTGTATAACAAAATTATTTTACAGCATCAACCAAAACTGACCATATTTGCACTTTTAATATTATGTATATCTATATAGCCACATAGTAAAGCAGCTATATTTTATTGTCAGAATGGATTGTATAATACAAATGACAGCAACATTGCAACACAATGACATCAAAAATTATCCCCATCAATTTAGATTGCTAGCATGTCCTCTTTTTATTCAAAATATTGTCTCGCAACAAAATTTCAGTAATTTTGATACCTAAGGCTGACTAGTATAACAAAATTATTGAAATGCATCAACAAAAACTGACCATATTTGCATTTTATTATTATGTAAATCTATATAGCCGCATAGTAAATCAGCAATATTTTGTTGTCAGAATGGATTGCATTATACAAATGACAGCAACATTGCAACACAATGACAACAAAAATTTGTCCCCATCAATCTAGATTGCCAGCATGTCCTCTTTTTATTCAAAATATTGTGTCACAAGAAAATTTCAGTAGTTTTGATACCTCAGGCTGACTCATATAACAAAACTATTTTAAAGTATCAACCAAAACTGACCATATTTGCACTTTATTATGTAAATCTATATAGCCGCATAGTAAATCAGCAATATTTTGATGTCAGGATGGATTGTATAATACAAATGACAGCAACATTGCAATACAATGACAACAAAAATTTGTCCCCATCAATCTTGATAGCCAGCATGTCCTCTTTTTATTCAAAATATTGTCTCGCAACAAAATTTCTGTAATTTTAATACCTATGGCTGACTAGTATAACAAAATTATTTAAACGCATCAACAAAAACTGACCATATTTGCACATTATTATGTATATCTATATAGCCACATAGTAAATCAGCAATATTTTGATGTCAGGATGGATTGTATAATACAAATGACAGCAACATTGCAATACAATGACAACAACAATTTGTTCCCATCAATCTAGATAGCCAGCATGTCCTCTTTTTATTCAAAATATTGTCACGCAACAAAATTTCAGTAGTTTTGATACCTCAGGCTGACTCGTATAACAAAATTATTTAAACGAATCAACCAAAACTGACCATATTTGCACTTTATTATGTAAATCTATATAGCCGCATAGTAAACAACAATATTTTGATGTCAGAATGGATTGCATTATACAAATTAAATGACAGCAACATTGCAACACAATGACAACAAAAATTTGTCCCCATCAATCTACATGTAGATAGCCAGCATGTCCTCTTTTTATTCATAATATTGTCTCGCATGAAAATTTTAGTAGTTTTGATACCTCAGGCTGACTTGTATAACAAAATTATTTTAAAGCATCAGCCAAAACTGATCATATTAGCACTTTATTATGTCATGTATGTAAATCTATATAGCCGCATAGTAAACAACAATATTTTGATGTCAGAATGGATTGCATTATACAAATTAAATGACAGCAACATTGCAACACAATGACAACAAAAATTTGTCCCCATCAATCTACATGTAGATAGCCAGCATGTCCTCTTTTTATTCAAAATATTGTCTCGCATGAAAATTTTAGTAGTTTTGATACCTCAGGCTGACTTGTATAACAAAATTATTTTAAAGCATCAGCCAAAACTGATCATATTAGCACTTTATTATGTCATGTATGTAAATCTATATAGCCGCATAGTAAATCAGCATATAGCCGCAAAGTAAATCAGCAATATTTTGATGTGAGGATGGATTGTATAATACAAATGACAGCAACATTGCAATACAATGACAACAAAAATTTGTCCCCATCAATCTAGATAGCCAGCATGTCCTCTTTTTATTAAAAATATTGTCTCGCAAGAAAATTTCAGTAGTTTTGATACCTCAGGCTGACTCGTATAACAAAACTATTTTAAAGTATCAAACAAAACTGACCATATTTGCACTTTATTATGTAAATCTATATAGCGGCAGCCGCATAGTAAATCAGCAATATTTTGATGTCAGGATGGATTGTATAATACAAATGACAGCAACATTGCAATACAATGATAACAAAATCTTGTCCGCTTTAATTTAGAGTGCCAGCATTTCATCTCTGTATTCGTTATATAAAACTGTCACTAAAGTCAGTATCAGTATCTGTATTTCCCACTTCCATGACTTCTGAATATGGACGGGTACATCACAGATTCCTTTTGGGCTATTGTGTGATGGGTTGGTCTGCGCATAAACTAGTCGTGCTTGCTGAGGTGTGATGATTTAAACTCAGTAGTTCAGAATGGTTTGTATAATAAAACTATTCCACCTCATCATCCAACAGTGTGACTGACATGACAGATTTCATTTGTACTTTATAATGAAAAGTATGAGAAGTTCTCTTCTAGGAAAAGTATACTGTTAGTATATTATGTCGGTTGGTTGATTTTGTTGGTGGCTAAATATCAAGTGGCAAATATTTCATTCCGTTTCACATAAGTATATTTTTTCGGACGTTCAAGATATCATTTATAATCCGTAAAGACAAATCTAACGAAATTGACGAGATTGTTCATAATTATACAACACCTTATGTGCAATAACACTGTACAATTTTCCTTTGAACATTTTTTGGAAAACAAAATCGTAAATCCAAGGCAAACATAGGTGAATGACGATAAGATATTTATAAAGAGACTGTCAAAAGTGGGGAACGAAGCAACTTTAAAAATGATGTTGATAACCCGTGATATAAAAATACTGTTCCGATGCGTGGATAACCTTTCTATCCGCCTTCTAGTTTAAATAAAATCCTTTCTTTTACGATAACTGCATGTGATCACAAGTGTGTAATTTTAAAGCCATTGTTTAATGTAAATAAGAATATGAAAAAAAAGATTTTTTAATATGTGTATATTAAATATATATGACATAGAGTCTAACGAGTAAAGTAATTTGCTTTACTGGGAAAAAAGAACAATAGGATTATTATTATTGTTTATGTTTACAATCCGAAAAATTAAAGTAAAATGAACTTCGGTTTCAACCAATGAAATGTCGTACACCATTCATTCACACCATTCCCAATCGCACGTTACACAATCACACCATTCCTCTTACACCATTACACCATTCCCCTTACACCATACACCATAGCACCATACACCTTCTACCATTGCACCATATGCCATACACCATTACACCATACACGTTATTTTGGGAAGTTTACACCATCCAAGGGCTGTATTCCTGACTTGGTACATGTAGGCTCCGAAGAAAATGGTAGGTTACTGGTTTTCTAGCAAGCTCAACTTTCCACTTGTATACAAGTTTTTTTTATAGTTCCGTTATATTGACAAAATTGGGTGAGCAATCCAAACAGACAAAAGAAGTTAATGTGACAATAATTGGGATCCAGCAGCCAAAACTGTGTAAAGATTTAAGATGACTTTGTACAAAAAAGATTTTACTGCAATCGCTTACAGAGACGAACAATGCATGACTAATTTTAGTGCACTTCTATTATATGAGACCATCATATCGCAATCGTAACTACTCGGCCATTCTCGCTACACCTACAATAATTATTATCATAGGCGTATGGAGAATGGTTAAGAAGAAAAGATTGCAAAATATCAAT